TCTTGTTTACAAACCTCTTCACTCAAAAACTTGACTTCAAGTGATCAAGAAAAGTCAAGTAACACCTTTGATACCAATGACAAGAAAGTTTCCAAAGGAAGAAAAACTGACTGTGAAGTACCTTAAGGCCTATTTAATATTTGAAGTGAGAAATATATAGAGGTTTTTGATGATAGAAGGAATTATTTTTCTCCTTCCAATCACTTGTGGACCTCTTAGAGCTATCGCTTTTATGGTTTTCTAGAGAATTTTGCCTACCTCAGTTTGACCCTGAATTTTTAGTAGCTCAAATCCTTACCAAAGGTAATTGGCTGACATGAAACACGTTAGTTTTTGAAATGTAAACAAGCTTCTATTGGTCATAATCACGTGTTCTAATGACATCATTGATGATTGGAAAAAAGGTTCTGGAAATGTTTGCCCCAAAAAAGCTTAAGTTCCTCAATAAAAACTTCCATGACACCAAAAGATCAAGTGATAGGTAATATGAATTGCAAACTTCTATCTCTTACCTAAGTTCCTCAAATGGTGACAAAGCTTTAATGGAAAAAAGCTGAGGTCTAAATACTTTTCTTGAAATATTCCAATCCAGTGTTCACTTAAATAAAAGACCAGTTGGATTGACTTGTCTAATGCTGCAGGTGATAAAAAAGAAGATTTTTTCCAAGGTTCAAGTGAAGCAAGAAGACTATCCCAATTAGGTAGATTCCTTTTAAAAAGAAGTTGTTTTTATTTTTGGATTTTTTTTGATGGGCCTTGAATTGTTCCCTTTTCCCAATTCTTTTTTCCCCTTTCCCTTTTTAACTTAGCAATTCATTGGTTTTCAGGCAATTTACAATAACAACCTATTGACAATTATTCTGGTAGATAGAGGTTATTACCAATCTATTAGGGAAGTGAAATATTGTCCTCAAAATCTGACTTAGAGTACTTTTGTATAAAGATGAATTAGTCACTTTGTAAAAGTCTGTAAAATATTATAAATTCATTTTCAATTTTTCAATAAAGACACGCTATTGTGGCATGATTGCGGGTTAAAAAAAAAAATAATAATAATAATAATTAATTTAAATATATATTTGCAATAATAATCTATAGGCTATAATACTAATAGTTGAAAAGGTATTTATTTAAACTAGTAGTGAAGTGATAAATTATTCCTAAAGTTACACTTAGAAAAGTAAAACAAATAAAATGAGTGAGTTAGTTAAAGAATTAGCTTTAACATCTTATATTATAAGTATAGCTTACAAATGTTTAATAAAGTATATGTAACTAGTCTGATAGAGGGCAATATATATATATATATATGTATATACTATATATGTGAATTTAAAATTTTAAGATTTATTTATTTATTTAAATATATTAATACTCTTTGTTTTAATTTTAGAAAGGTTTCTTATCTTTTTTATTACTATTTATAGTATTATAGATAAGTTTTATTTAATAAATTCTTTATTTAAGTATATACTAAATTATAATATTTCAAGTTAATATAATCAAAGTTTTGAAATCTACTAATATAATTTTGAATTAGTAAATATTTAAAAAATATATATAACTTTAAAAATAAAATTCTAAAGTCTATTATTTTAATTTAAAATAATGTTTTATTAAAGTAAAGTCATGTAAAATTAAACTAGAAACTTTTTTTATACAATCTTTTTAAACAATTATTTTAATTTTATAATTAATGAAAAGTTAAAGATTTTATTTTAATATACTTTTAAAAATTATAAAAAATTAATTGTTAATTTGTTTATATAAAATATTTTGATTTTTTTTTTTATTATTTTCATAATTTTTTAATTTAAAAATTCACTTGTATATATTTATTTTAATATTTACTAATTTGATTTAAATATTTTTTCATTATATATAATTTTATTAATTATAAAAACATTTATTAAGATCTATAAATCTATAATACAATAATATAATACTTTTAAATTTTTATAATTAGACAAAATTTTTAAAAATAATATCTTATTTTTATTTTGATTAAACAAATATTTTTATAATATAATACTTATATAGATATAATAAACATATTTATAAGTAAAGAAGAAAATTAAATTTCTTTAATTGTTAAAAAGAAATCTTGTAAAATCGCAAATAGTCAAATTCTTCAATTAATTTAAAATAAAAAGAATATTTTAATTTAAATATTTTTTTATAAGGATTTTTTAAAAATAATAACAAATTGTTAAAGAGAAGTGAAATATTTGTTTCTTAAATCTGATTTAGAATATCTAATTGAGATTTTGTTTTGTTTAATTCAAAACTAGCTCAGTGAATTTTCCTTCAACTGATAATGTAATGAAGACTAACCATGATAAAATAATTGCAGGTTAAAAAAAAAAAAAAAAAAAAAAAAAAATTGAGTAATTTACTATGTTCTTATCCCAAACTTTATAATAAATTTAGAAAAAAGTTCATTATAGAGTGAGTTCGTAATAATACAATAAAATTATAGGATCAAACTTATATTTTCAAACATATATAATCACATATTTATTTATTTAATAGTTGTTTTATATTTCACAATTAACAATCACATTTATTGATTTTTTTTCGGCTTGGGAACAGTATAAAGAATAGATGTTTACTGAAAATCACTCGCGGTATAACGAAGAACCAAATTTGTTACGACGGCAGCTTGAAATTGATTGATGAAAAAATTTGTCAAAGGGAATCGCCGAGATGTGCGAGATGAGAAACACGGAATTTTGAAATATAAAAAACAATGAACATACCAACAAGGAAAATGCACAGAATAGTCGGTCCAAACCTATCATCATAGGAACCTCCCTCCCTTTTTCTTATCTTCGTAGCTCTCCAATGATATATGAACAGTGCATAAACCATGATGGCCATCGCTTTAAATAAAAAATCGGAAATCTGAATGAAAACGCGTCGATTGAGAAGAGAAAAAAACGTAAGCCAACTTTAAACACGTACCAACGAGGGTGAATATACCAGCGGAAATTTTTCCAATTTTATCACCAAAGTTGAGAAGGCCAATTGAAAGACCTCCTAGTATAACCGTAAAATGCAGCCAAGAAAGAAAGGTTCGTTCGTTGGCAAAGAAAACCTATTTTATTATAAAACGAGTAATAAGATTAAATGCTTGAGAAAATTAGGGGCACAATCCTTTTACATACTTTAGGCTCCACTCTGACAGGGAGAGCTATACGTTTCTGGGGTGGTTGAAGAAGCGGTTGAGTCGACATTATTCAAATCCTTTTTCTTGTGTGGGATAGAGAAGGAGAGGTGAGAGGGCACATTTTTTAAAGGAAAGGTTTTGGTGACACCAGGTGAGATTATCCAAATGGCGCTTACGATAGTCCTTATTCGGAACATTTCTTTGAAATTAGATTTCAGCCCTGCACTAAATTAAAAATTCACATTATCCAATCGAAACCAAATTATCATGACAAAAAATCCGATGATTTAAAGCGTTAATTCACATGACTATTTGTTAATCAATTTACATTTTTAAAAAAATAAATTGCGGCCGAATTGGATTTAAATTATTTGTAACAACCATGTATTTTTCTAATCTTTGCAAACAAGAACCTTTTCTGTAATGATTATTAAAGGTACAATGATAATATATTGGAAATTATTTTTTATTATATTTTCTTTGCTCAGCCGTAGTTCAAACGGAAGATATCATTAAGCACCCAATAAGTATTGCCCTCGGGAATGAGCTGAAATGCTTGTGTGAATCTTTGTGGATTTTGTTCTTCATCAACCTATCGACAATAAGAAAGATTAGAATCTAAAAGATTTCGGAATGAGAACTATGTTTTAAGTGAAATTACCAATAGTTCACCAGTAACCACTACAAAAATACCATTAGAAATGCTGGGCTGGGCATCTGTAGAGGCAATGCGATGTGCAACACGTTGGAATGGTAAACTCTGTACAACCCACATAATTGATAAAAAGTTCATATTTGATCCTGAAAATTTTAAGGAGTATTGATAGATTTCAGGGTTTATTATTACCGTCAACTTTTCAATAATACTTGTCACCCCTTTGAATGGTGCACCCTCGAATGTGAGCATAGATTCATCCCTCTGCAAAAAACGGAAAAGATTATTATGATTCACGAAATAATTATTGATTAGTTTCTTTTTGAATTAATCTTTGCTTGGAATTCGGTCGCGTACGACGAGAAATAAAACACAACAGAAGTCCTCACACACTAAATATAATAAGCGAAAGTCCCATAACTTGTCTTAAATGCTTACTATAAATATATAGATTGCTTTCTCGTGAGGCCACTTCCTGACTTAGGGAAGTTCTTGTGAAAGACAAACACAGGATTACTTACATAAAGCGGCTTAAGGTTATTCCGGTCGCTAGAAAACACGCTGTAATAATAGTTGATGAATTGAGATGCGAGTGTGCTGATGTCGGCCATTTCGCGATTTAGACACTAATAAAGAACTGGTGAAATGAATGAAAACTTGGACTGACCAAATTTTATCATGTTCATCTCGTGTGACAATGTGATTAAAACGTAGTTACCTGTTACCGTAGTATTACGTATGTGCGTGCAATGCCAATATGTAAATACTGTATCGCTTTACATAGGGTATGTACTGTACATTTCCATCCAGTTTACATGCGTTAGCAAATTTTTATATTTTCCTTTCCTTTGAACTACAATTCATCCTTTTAACTTGCATCGCGAGGAACAATCAAACTCACATGAGAGCTATGCATATCTTCAGAAGAACGGCATCGTTTGCCACTTTTCGTGGCGTGCGCATGTTGAAGAAATGGATCGTGGTAACTTTGTTTCTCTCGTTGATTTTACTATACATTTTCGGACCAGCGATACATTTGTACCTTTTAATTGTAAAATACAAGCTCAGGAATAATATGTATGATCTAGGTTTACTTCCTTGTTCTCTGAGGAAGATCCCAATTTTATACATGATAGAGACACAAAAGTTATTAGCCGTATGGGAAGCTAATTGTGCACTAAAAGATGTAAGGATCCGATGGTACGAAATTAAAGAAAATAATGACGTGATAGAATTATTGAACATTTCGAATGTCCTTGCCCCAACAGAAATAGATAGCTCACACCATGTGTACAAGGCGACAATAGGCCCATTCACGACCGTTTCAAAATATGCGTACGAGATTGTTCACAAGATAGATGAAAAAAGACAGGCCGATGTAATTTCTTCAAATTCCTTCAAACTATTTCCTGAAAATTCCATCACATCATACCCCATTAAGATAGTTGCTTTTTCAGATAATCAATTCGGTCTTCCCATCTTTAATCGTCTTGTACAATTGGCTCACAAGAAACACACTCCAAACTTTGTTCTTCACGCAGGCGATGCAGTTCAACATTTTAAAAATCTTCAACAATGGCAGACTGATTTTTATGATCCGTTGACGAATCTTCAGTCTCCGTTACAAACGCCACTTATTTATGCCCGCGGCAATCATGATCACGACCCTACACGCATGTATGCGTATACAACCGATGTGCTTTGGTATTCATTTTCATTGGCCAACACTCGTTGGATCGTGTTGGACAGTAATGTTGATGATAAAAGACAAGACGAGTGGTTAGCTCAAGAGCTTTCATCTTTGGATGCACAAAAGGCAAAATTCATAATAGTAGTTGTGCACATTCCACCCTTTGTAGAATTTTGGGATCCTGAAACTTGGCACGGGAAAAACGAAAAACATTGGGGGGAATTTGTACGTACAAGATTTGTTCCTCTGTTTCGTAAGTATGATGTAGACTTGGTGATAAGTGGTCATCAACATAATTATCAACGCGGTCAATTGGATGGAACCGTGTACACTATCATTGGCGGCTCCGGAGGGGAATTGGATCGTGTGAGAGTGGAGGATTGGAAGATGTACGTCACCACCAAGGAAACGTACCATTATGTGTTAATGGAAATATGGGCAGATAAAATCTACTGGGTTTGTTACGATTTGAATGGTTCCGTGATTGATAAATTCGAGTTGGGTAAATGAATTACTTTTTCGTAGAATTTTGGAATTTTATGAAAAAACCTTGTAAAATAATAATTTTATTATTAAGCAATATCAAAAGTAATTAATATTATTCTTTAATTTTTTTTAAAAGTATCAATACATTTGATCGTTCTAATAATAATAATTTTTATTATTAGATTAATATATTATCAACAAACAACCTGAACAATATTTAATGAAAAAGATAGATCTAAAATTTTAAAATTAAAATATTTATTAATAATTAAATATTAAAAAATGTTTGCTAAGACATCACCTTGTTATCATCAATTTTTTAGTTAGACTTAAACAATTGTGAAATTATAAAACTATAAATCTTTTTAAATCTATTCTTTTCAGCAATAAAATAAAGAAAAACTTGCAATTCTCTATTGTCTACACAATCAGAATTATTAAACAAAAATATAATTAATCAGTCTAATTTAATTTTTCCATATTTTATTATTCAGTATCAATTGTTACAAATATATTAAAATTTAAATTTTTAATCTAATTTAACATTGAATAGATCGATCAAGTATTGATGAACTTCTATGTGATATCTATGATATTGATATTTAGAAAACTTTTAAATATAAAAATTTAAAATTATTTTTTAGCAAAGAGATGACTGATTCACATTTGGGATTGGTGCTAAATATCGACTGGTTTCAACTATTTGATAATAAAGTACATACAGTAGTATTAGAGTTATATATGTGACTATCACAAATTTGTTATGTAAAATATGATTTAAACATGAAAATATATTGATTCTTGATATATTATCAGGTTTTAGTGAACCAAGTTTATATTAAATAAACTATTACCTTTCTTCAATTGTTGATGAATTGATATAACTATGGTAAAGAATAAAGCTTGATTCAACTATTGAAAATAAAGAGAAAAAAACAATTCAGATAATCTTAATTTTAATTTTATATGATTTTCCTATTGCATGAAAAGTATATAGACACATTTTGATACTAGTGTCATGTTATTGTTGCAAGAAGAATACCAATTATAAAAATAATTATTATAATTTTGACAGCATGAAGAATATAAATGAATGGTTTATACTGAAAGATTTGATAACACATAAATGAGTTTCTATTGAATGGAGGCACTGTAACTCAAATATAGTACAAAAATATTTTGTTAATTAGAATCATACCAGATGGTCCAAATTTCTTTGTCTACCTTTTTTTGATCCAATTTGATATTTAGTTATCAATCCTATGCACTGTCTTTTTTATATATTAGTAAATGGCTCATTAAACAAATATGGATCGAAGAAGAAATACTAATAAATAATATATTGAATGAAAGATAATCAATGATGGAAATTTTTAGTGCCATTAGATATTGGTCAATTCTGAAAAAAGTAAATAGTGGTGAAGGATTTTTGAACTTTATTACTGATTAGTGAAGAAATTTTTTCACAATATATGCAACTATTATTCTATGAAAGCATTTTTCAGATGTGGATTGCCAAATTCTAACAAATTTTGTCAAAATTTATCAAATCTTAGTATATTGAATTTTAAGATGAAATTCATTAAATAAGGCTCACAAAAGATTAGTCACAATGATTAAACCAATAGAATGAAAATAGGGTGAAGAAAAAATTACTCCAAATTTTCATCTTTTGTTATATTTACTGTATATAAATGCACATGTGATTATGAGCCATTGTATATATTTTGATGCTTTTAATTTAAGAGGATGAATGGTATATTAGGTAGATTTTTTAAAACAAATTTAATATTCGGAAATAGAATTCTAATGAATTTTTAATCTAGATTCGTTGTCTAATAGTCATTGAAATATTGAACCCAAATTAATACAAAGATTGATAAATGATTGTCACATTATTAATCTAATTATATCCTATCCTAATAATCAGAAGCTTGAAATTTTAAATAATCAATCAAATATTGGCTCAATTTCTAAACTAGATCAGTTTTCAGTTAACGAGTTATATTGATTTTAAACAATACATAATATTCATGAAATAATAATCAATGAATCCAAACATTTTTCAGGTAAACTTTTGTATCTGAAAAAATCAAATTTAGAAGTATCTATTAAAATATTAGATCTATTAATTGAATACTATAAGGCTTCTTATAAACTATGAACTTTCGAAGGCCATTTATAAAAGATAATGAAAATTCAATAATTATTTGAAATAGAGCAGATAAATATAATAGATATCAAATTGGAAATGAAATATTCAATTCTATTTTTTTTTTTTTTTTTGTATACCTATAGCCAGGCTAGATCTTGAGTTTATTAATCAATTAAAAACATAAGTACATTTTTATTCAAGCAGCATAATACATACTACAGCTAAACTATTCTTCTAATCTAACAAACTCATCGTAAGTATAAAAGCCTCTAAGTTTGGTCTTGGGGACAATATTTCGCTCCACAGTGTCTTTGGGTAAAGATCCTCCTAGTCCACTGCATTATTGCCAGTAGGTTGTCACTGCCATATATCTGATTAAGCCACTGGATTACAGGAAACTACAAAAGAATAGGTTGAAAAAAAGGGAAGGGGATATCTAAAAATGTCTAAGTAGATCACAAGAAAATAAAAAAGTAAAAAAAATGAAAAAATTATTTCCAGCTTCCTTCAAAGACCTGCTTCTCAAGATCTCTTTTCAATAAGAAATGCCCAATTGGAATATTCTTTCTTTTTCCTGATCATCTAAGGAACTTATTCATTCTTGATCTTGATTTCCTTCTTGTATACCGTCTGAGAAGACTTATCACCTAGTGAGAGCCTTTACTTCCAGGACACACTTGGTCCCAACCTTCTTTGGACAGTAATTTTTTATCCACCTGTGATAAAAAGGTGACTTATAATGAACCCCAGGTTCTTATGTGACCTAGTAGGGACTAGGTCATGTTGTTTCAGTATGATACCTTCCAGCAGCCACACCTAGTTAAAGGAATTTTACTGGTGTATATCT